CAAAACCCCAAAACCCCAAAACCCCAAAACCCCAAAACCCCAAAACCCCAATCTGAAATTTAATCGAAGATATGAAAGAAAAACTAGCTAATTATTCATGCGTGATATGTACTATTAAATGAATTGCCGCCCTAACCATTATTGTTACCATTTTATTAAGAGTTATTCCCTTGAAGGAAATCAGTTACAGGATCATTTGTAGATCTTTTATTGTTTTCATACTCCATATCATCAGTGGGCAGTTCATATCTACATGTAGGGCAAGTATTATGCTTTTCTAGCCAAGGAATAATACAGTCAACATGGAATAGATGTTTGCAAGGCAACTTGTAGAATTTATCCTCGTCCTTAAATGATTCAAAGCATACTTGGCAATCTTTTTTCGACATCAAATCGGATCCGCTCATGGGCTTTAACTTTTGAATAAAAGATTTTGATGTTGGAATGCCCTAATTTTGATTCATAGCTGAATTCAATGACTCTTGAATGACCTGGCTTAGAATGTTTTATTCTAGGTTTCCTCCACCAAAGCCTCCGAAAAGATTATTAAGGCCTCCAAGATTGAGAAGGTTGGCATTGAGGTTATTGACTCCTGGTCCAATATTGAAAACCTGCTGAAAGACATGCTATTGTGGCTGCTATACACCATTAACTCCGAATTAATTTGGAAATCCTCCAAAAAGATTACCAAATATGTTATTGTTAGAAAATTATTGCTATTGTTACTGCTAATTTTGATTTTATTATTATTACTGATTGTTATTTTGAGGGTATTACTAGTTGATGTTTATATTTGTATTAAGATTGCCAACTGGCTATTAGAGTTGCTGGTTAAGTTGTTGATTAATTTAGTTTAGTATTGCCTATGGATCATCGTTGAACTAGTCTAAGTCTATATCAATATCTATTTACTGAATCTATGCATCGACCTCCTGATCGTTTAAATCTTCCCAGTCTTGGTTGCCATCGTCCAAAGGCAAGTCCCCCATATCCTCCTAAATTTCGTCAGTAGCTTCTATATTTGCAATGTGTATAACAGTATCCCCTGACTGACCTTAAACTCTCTACACGTTAATGTTTTAGCCATTCTGATTTATGACTGTCTACTATCCTTAAGAACGGACTAATTCATTTATTTACTGCTAAATTGTGTTTAGTAAATCTGGATTGTTTCCACCCGGGATATTTTGAATTTAAGTTGTGATAGTTGCCCTACCATTTTAAGATTAAAATGTCTACTGCATTGAATTACTACCTTGATTTTAAAAAGAGAGATTCGGTATAGTTTAAGGCTATGTCTAAGCTGTTTGCTTATTTTCTTCTTTTTACTCCTCCTAATTTTTTGTTGTATCCTAGATTTTGCTTTCTTCATCAACACAGTCATGAAATTCTTCATCAGAATCTTGTTAAGTTTTTTAATCATTTTTTTTGTTATTTGCTTCATTATTTTGAGACTTCATCATTTGCTACTATATCTCATTTTTGTAAAGTTCCCTTAGATGCTTTAGTTGGTCTTCAGACTCGATTTGCTCAATAAAGAAATCTTGACAGTGTTAGCATTAAAAGTCATCATTCTCATTTTCCTAAGTCATAAGGATTGTGAAATCTAGCTTGCAATTGTGGCAGAAGTATTGTGATGATTTTTCCATTAATTTGAATATAATCAATTATAATAAGGTTTTTTTTCAAAATTAATTTATATTATTCGTTCAAATTTAAATAAGATGTCTCAACTATTCAAAAGTTCACTTAATAAAATACCTTCCTCTTAAACACTTAGAGTAAATTTAATTCTTCAATTTTAGCAATTTAGGGATCTAACGATGTATCAAAATCAGACTAAAATTCATCTAATGTGTACTAGCATAAAAGGTAGGGTAGCTTTATGATGAACCAGAGCTCAGTAAAAAAAAGTTTGATATCAACTCAGTAAAGGAATTAAAATGTATAAAGTGCGATGAGTGTGAGAGTTTAAAGCTAATAAACATCATAATCTCACACATTGAAGCAAAGCAGTGAAATAATTAATTACAATGCAGCTGATGAAAGCTCAAATTCAATCAATAGAAGTTCAAGTGTAAATTAATTTATGGTACAACAGGTTGATAATAAGCAATCTAGAAACCACATCAATCAGACTTAATCAGCTGCAATGGAGTCATTTTATCTTTCTTCAAATATCAAGGTATATTGAAATTTTGTGATTAATTCTAGGTTTTTATGGGAATAAATTCTAATCAATATCAAAATGATGAAACTCTAGGTACAATTGATAGCATTGCTGTAGATAAAAATCTGTAGACAATATATCTTAACTACAATGATGTGCTCTACAAACAATACTAATTTTATCACACATTCGATGAAAATTCAGAGAAACAAGAACTATTTAATTTTTCAGTGAGATAACATCTAGAATCAGATCCAATTCAAGATTAAGTTACAACAATAATGATGTATGGATAGAAATCTACGGGTAAGAGCTAAATATTAGGCTCATTATTTGAGCCTTATGAAAAAGAAAATTGTTTGATCTGGCTAACTCTTAAGAGTATGTTTCAAAATTAGGAATATCAAGATGATTGCAGTGGAAATGAAATATTCATATCTTGCTATGAGGTATTTTTGGAGACGTTGTGCGATTTATTCGATGAAACTAATGATGAATTTCAAACTGAAAACGATATTACTTGGCTTAAAGTTACATCTCTTGATCAGGCAGAACAACAACTCAAAATAGCCTTTTTAAATAGAAAGCAGATTGTTGATGAAAATGGGCTATCTTTTTCTCAAAGTCATTTGATACTGAACATTAAAGTAGCAGATTCAACTTCAGAGAATAGTGGGAAGATGATATCCTTTATTGATTTAGTTGGATTTGACGACTCATTCACAGAAAAAATAATGAATGGAAATTCATTCGCAATTCATGAGAACTCAATACTTCAAAATGAATCTCAATTCCAGGACTAAAACAATGAACTTAAGCTATAAAGAGTAATCAGAGACTGCAATGACAACAATCTATTTTCAATAAGAAATCTGTTACTATCTTTAGAGAATGATAAAGATGGGAAGCTTTAATAGGTGTTGGAAGAGACAACCCTTGCAAGAGTTGTGTTTGCTAAACTTCTTTAGTCTAGTAACTTTTATATAATTGGAACTCTAAATAAAAACCAAGATAACTTTAATGAAAGTTTAAACACTTTAGAATTTTGCACCAAATTTTAGCAAGCACTTATCAATTAACAACAAACTATCCTACCAGAAGTTAAGGAATCAAGTTTAGTGCAGTTTACTTAAGAAGAGAATATGATTGCAACTGATGACAGCTACAATAACTTGATGGGGAAAAGAGTCTAAGCATTACCTTAAGAGATCTCAGCATATTTGAACTGTTCAATTAAGAATGACCAAATGTCAAAGTTTTACTTAAACAATAACAATAGTGTTACTCAAAACTAAGAATTTGCAGATACACTTATTCTTCAAAGTGTGTAAAGACCAAATATACGTTTAAAAGCATAATTAATAGACAATAAAAGCAATATAAGCATTAATTCAGGCAAAATGATGAAATACCTAGATAGGTTTTTGAATAAATAGACCTATGGTAAGTCTGAAGTATCTTCATAGAATAATAATAACTCCTTGTACTTCTTTTAGAAATAATTGAAATCCAGTAATGGTATGAATAGAGAGAATAATATCAAAATATAGAATGAGTTTATTTTAGAATCTCAAGGCAAAGGAAAAAATTTAGGTATGATATAGCAAGTTAAAAACTCAAACTAGAAGAAGAGGAATGGATTCTATAAATAACCCAGTGAGAGAAGTACTGGATTCGCAACCAATACCTAAATTACTCATCTTAGAAAATACTCTCAGGATTTGATCGGTTAGTCTTAGAGTAACAATAACATTTAAAGATCACAGCTTACATAAATTAACAAAGGAGGGGTGAATCCCCCCTAGATAATGGAGAGAACATTTAGTGAGATAAATTTCAATAATGGCTCAAAGAATATGGATGAATCTCAAAGAGTGTTCAATCTGAGACAGCTTGAGAACTTCTCTAAAATAATGGGCAACAAAAGTAAATACGATTCTAGTTTTCTGAGTACTTTCGTCTTGCACAACAATAACGGCAATAATTCTTATAGAGATAATGTAATTATTGAGGAGAATTCTCATGTATAAGAAGATATCTAAGAAGCTTTAAGTTAATTTAAGCAGGTAAAGTAAGTGATTGACCAAAACTAAAATACAAGAAGTAGGTCATAGCTTAAAAATAAACTCTAGACAATGACTCTAAATTAGTAGTTATTGTCTTAATCAGCAGCAGAGTAAAATCAAACTAGGATTTCAAAAGGTTAATTGTTCATACATACTATTATAAAAGAGTCGCTGAAATGTATTGATGTCTAGATGAAGGATTTTTCGCAGTTTTTTACTAAGGATAAATCATAGCTAGATGCTTGCTTTGTCTGTAAAAGCTCAAATATTCAACAGAGTACTTAAGACTCTAATTTTACCGATATTTTCAAAATAAAGAAAGCAAGGTTTTTTGATCTTGATAAAATTCTTAGAGATATTGAGTAAAAGGAACTGAGAACTCAAACATTGTGCTCAATCAGAGAGAGCCAGCAAAGCAGTCATAAAAGAAACACTAAGTCTATTAATTAATTGCCCCCATCAGGAAAGCTGATAGTAGATGTACCAAAGAATATATAAAATGCAAAATAGCAACTAAGGAGGGGTCAATCAATAAATAAGGAAAATATTAAGCCTCCTAAGTTCCCAGGCCAGAAATCAATGCTTAATGATGAGTCTAAAGTAGCTGGGTTTGAAAGTTTAAATCAGCTTAACTTCCCACTTGGAGTGTATACCTAGCAGCCCATGCAAAATAGTCATTTTAATAAGTCAAGATATTGAATCAATCAATCGGTATATCTAGATAATTAGTAGTGGTGATTTTAAATTTATGTTTGTTAAATAGGTCTTAATATGTAATTTGATTCTTATAAATATTTAAAATTCCTAATAATATTAATAATATTTAACATTTATCATTATCAAATGGCAGACAAGAAGCATCATCGATAGAAAACAATGGTGACTGGAGGTGGAGGAAATAATCAAAGTTATCAAAATAATAATAGCAGCAATCAGCAATAGCCATTCAACCAGCAGCAGCAGTCTAGTAATATTGGAAACTTTACTAAAAAAAGCTATCCTAAGAAAAACTATTCATAGTTTAAGAATCAAGATTAGAATCAGATCAAGCAAAATTCAGTGTTTGATGATCCATTTGAAGAGTCAAGCTATTTAAAGTTCCTAATGAGTGAAAGGTATCATATATATGAAGACATTGCTGCCAAAGAGAGAAGGTACGAGGCACTTTAAAAACTTAAAGAAATCATTAATTAGTGGTAAATAGATCATGCAGTCAATGTAAGGAAAATCAATCAGCAAGAGGCGCAAAAACGATAATCTTGCTTACTGCCTTTCGGCTCTTATGAAATGGGAGTGCATTTTCCTGATACTGATATGGATCTGATATGTGTGTTCCCTTAATATATTTTGCAAGAAGACTTTTTCAATACCTTTAAGACATTTATCACTTCTCAGAAGGATGTTGAGAATGTGATAGATGTGGTGGATGCAAGAGTCCCAATACTCAAACTTAAATTTATGGGAAATTAAATTGATCTTTTGTATGCATGCATTGACCCCAAACTTTTGAACGAGCAAGTGAAGATCTAGAAGATTATTAAAGATGAGTAAGTATTTAATAAACTCAACCAAGTAAGCTAGAATAGTCTAAATGGATTAAAAGCAACTCAGAATCTAATTAAATCTGTGCCAAATCCACGAAAATTCAAGATATTTCTCAGATGCATTAAACTGTGGGCATAGAGAAGAGGTATATATTCTAATACATTTGGATATCTGGGAGGTATTTCATATGCCATATTAGTGGCTAAAATATGCCAGGATCATCCAGATCTAGAGCTAGTAGATTTAGTTCACAAGTTCTTTGAGGTATATTCTGAGTGGAAATGGTTTGATCCAGTGTTTATAAAGATTGGAAAAAAGAAAGACAACACTAAACTCGACCTTAATAAACTGTAGGTACTAGATGCCTACTCTCAGGATATAATGCCAATATTGACTCCGAACACTAATCCGAAGAACTCAGCATATAGAGTTTGCTAATTAACTTTTGATACTATATGCAGCGAACTATATAGAGGAAAGCAAATTCTAAAATAGTTAGCTCCTTCAACTCTGAAAGTCATTAAGCAACCTGACGAACAAGAAGAATCAATACCTTAGACTCAAACTGATAATTAGGAAGAAATTAAAGGGGGAGACCTATTACAATAGCAAATACTAACTACTTCAACTATATCTTTACCAAAGAAGATTTGTTGGACTAAGCTGTTCTAAAGATTCAGATTTTTCGGAAACTATAATCATTTTATTAGAGTTGATGTGCTTTCCACAGATGAAAGTGGCCATCTCAAGTGGCAAGGGTATGTTGAAAGTTAACTTAGAAGATTGATTTAACTTTTTCAAGACGTGGAATAGATCCAAGGTTTAAGAATTTACCCTCGAGCCTTGTCAAGAGATGAAACTAGAGACACTATGAATGATCAGTTCAAGTGCTGCGACTCTTATTTTATTGGGATAAAATTCAATGAGACTGGGTCATAAGCGTCTGTTAACTTGAGAGAATAAGTTATAAATTTTTGTAATTTCCTTGAAATTGGAAGAGTTACTAAACAAATCAATAATGTCCGCATATTGCATTTCAAGAAATCAGAGTTGCCTGAAGAGTTAATAGAGAAGTATTGAAATTTAAAGATTCAATTCTATAATTTGCATTTTAAGGATGATCCTATCATTTTATTAAGCTTAATTTAATAATTAGTTAATTTTTAAATTTCTAATAAAAATTTGATTAAAATGGATGCAGAAATGTTTAATCAAACTGAAGAAAAAGTGTAAAACATAAATGATTTGGAATTAATTGACACAAGTTCAAGGTTCATATAAAATGATCAACTATTCTAGCAAGACACTGATAAGATTGAGGAAGAAAATCAACTTGATTAGACAGATGATTAATTATTTAAAGATGATACTCATTATGACTCTCGCAGAAAATCAGCTCCATCTTAATTGAAGATAAAAACCAGACGTTAATCGAAGGGAATAGTTTACTTTAACAGAAAAAAGCCCACTATAGAGATTACTATTGGTTCTTTGGAGGAATGGTATATCGAAAATCAGTTTAGATTCAAACGAAGGAAGATGAATACATTTACTGAAGGAGAAGATTAAAAAGAAGAATATTTTGATTTAGAGGAGACAAGGAGTAAGCTTAACAAGAGCTATCTGTATGAAAATTGGTAAGAAGATTTCGAGAAAGAGAGGAAAAAATTAGAGTCTAGAAACAAGAAGCGTAAAAGATCTAACAGTAGTAGATCAAGAAGTAAGAGTCCTACTCCTGTTTCCAAGAAAGATGATTTCTAAATTCAGGTTAATCAGAATGTAGTTCAACGAAGGGGTTCAGTTAAAGGGGGCAGCTTAAAAGGCTCTATCAAAGGAGATTTGTCAAATAGCTCATAAATAGACTCTGAAGAGGAGGATCGCAGAGAGGCTGAAAAGATAAAAGTAGATATACTAGATGAACTCAACAAAAAAGATGAACCTATGGAAAGCTAGTAATTATCAACTAATCTAAAGTATGCATAGAAATATATCGAGGAGGCACTAAAATGCCTGTTTGATAATTAACTTGTGAAGAAAAAAGATATTGGCAAAAAATCATATTACATTGCTGTAAATCAAGAGAGCTATTTGCAGTTCATATAAAATAAAGACTTGATCAAAGAGAAAATATAAGAAATCAGAGATGTTGAGATGTAAGAATAGACAATTGATAGTGAGCTTAATAAACTTGAGAAGCAAATTAAAGACCTAAAACTCAAACCAACATCTGAGCAGATTAGACAAGAAATTATAGCAATGTGAGAACATATAAGTAAAATTGAATCTGAAATTGAGGAATTTAAGAAGGATCCTAAATATTTGGGGGACTAAATGCTGAATAAGTAAAGAATGATGGAGGAGAGACTATAAAAGATAGTTCATATCTATAAAAAGCGAAAGGACTGTTGCGAGGACATGCTTGATTATTTTTCAGAACATTTAAATGAAGATATTGATTAGATAATGAGGAAATGTGGAATAGATCCAGCTGATAGGATTATATCAGAGGATTTGGCTGAAATTCTAGGTATACAGTTACAAAGAGATAACCTTTCATCTGATTACTAAGAAGAGCAATCTTAGAGTAAAACCAAAAAGAGCAGAGAAAGTGTTCAAGATGAAGTTTAAAATGAAGAAAACATTGATAATGAATGAAATGATTATTATACTTTGGCTAATCTTTTAATTTCATAACTCTGATTAAACTTGCTATTGATTATCAAAAATTTAAGAATAATTTACAATTGATCAATCATTATATAACTGTAACTAAGCATCATCTTCTTCCATAATAGTTTCAATTTTAACTATCTTAGCTCCAGATCCAAGCCTATTACTGCTGCTATTTTGACTCTTGGCAGTTGTGTTTCTGCGAGTTGAATCTAAAATTTGATAGCTCTTTGCTTTTTGCTTGCTTTAATTGCTCGCACTTGCAGGTCTTTGGCTTGTGTTTCCAGCACCATTAGCGCTTGATATACTCCCTCTCGGAGATGATGAACTGTTCGAAGTTTTCCTTCTGATTTAGTTGATTTCTTTCATCGAAACCCAAAGTTAGGCGTTTTTACTTAATTCATTATAGATAAACTCTTGATAGTTGCTTGTAGAAACATTTTTCTTTTAAGATTCCTCAAAAAGAGCAGGAATGTTTGCATATTTGGCTAAGTGATTCTCAGGAAACATAGTGTTTTTAATTTTAAAACACATCTCATAGAAGTATCTACAAATATTAATAAGGTATTTCTTACATTTTGTTGTTTTATCTTGACTCTTTTTCTCTCTTTGATTCTTCGAATTTAACTGTTTCATCGATTTCATCACCTATTTTTGGGTTAGACATGCTTCTTATAAATTATGGATGTGAAGGCTTCTATTAAAAATCCTTAATTATATTGCTCATAGTGGAAAATGGCATTGAGTTCTAGGTGAACTATGATGTTTAAGTCTTCATACTATTATCAGAAATAAGAGTTTAGTTATCTATATCGCTCCTAATATCACTCATAATAAAAAGTCCTTTATGGACTATGTTAGGATAATTTTAAATCTATCCTCCTTTCTTTACAAACTTATTTTGCATTGCCATGATTAAATCGTTAGTTCTTTTTTGCAAAAACTCTTTTTCTTAGATAGTTTTGTTCATTTCTTCTTGCTTAATCTTATATTTCTCTTCGCTATGTTCACTTCTGATTGATTATATAGTATTTCTTTACTCATTTTATAGCGATCTCTATCTATTAAATTCTCCTCCAGAAGATATACTTTAATTGTCTAATCGAAAGGTACTATTATCTTTTAAATACTATATTATGGTAGAGAGCCTCTCTCTTGCAAGAACTTTTAATCTCTGTATAAAGATCAATAAATTAGTTGAGATTCCGACTGACTCTTCTTGGAATTAAATGTTCTAAATGATCTGTTTGCACTACAAATAATCTTGTTAAGTGAATTAGTTTTGAGCTTTTGATTTTAGAATTTCATCTCTAAATTTCTAGGCATATTACTAGATAATGGTAGCGTCCATTTCTTGTCTAGTATTAGGAGAACTAGAGACTAGATCTTGAACATACTTATCTATAGCTAGCAATAATTTTTCAAGTTTTTCAATTATTTGTTGATCAGTATTATTGCTTTATTAAGAATTGGCTAGTCTCATACTTTCACAATAAAGTAAATGATCTTCTATTTTACCCTATCTTATAACTCTTTAACATTTAACACATACAGTTTCCACTGCTCTTGGAGATGGAGGTTCAATAGGATCATCTGCTTCTTTTTCAGAAGGTTTAATAGATCTAATTTTAGATATAGATTATTGTTTATGGGCAGATGATCTATCTATAGAGCTTATATTGCTTTTTAGATAACTTGCAGTTGAAGTGTTTCTATTAGGAGTTCTTAGTAGCTCCAACGCCTATTACTGTTATCTTGAAGTTTAGAAATTAGAAGAAAAGTTACTCTTGTCTTCATATCTTAAAGTTGGTGCAGATGAACCACTGTGATAGTCGTCAGCCCCTGCTTTATAATCTATGCTTTTACGCCCCTCATTGTTAGATTAGTAAAGACCAGAATTAATCTTCTTTTCACTTGGAGAATTAGGCATCAATTTCTTAACCTTATCTTGAACTTTTTCAAAGAATTTAAATGCTCCATCTATAGCCTTTTGCTTACTAATTGAATAAATAAATCCTCCAAAAGTTCTTTCTAAAGATCCCCTTCTAGCTGAATTTTTAGATTATTAATTTAATGAATCTTGGGTCATATTTTGCAAATTATTTGCTGCATAACTCATTTAAGTTCCATTATTATTATCGTTAAGGGCAACTTTTTGTTTTACAACTAATTTATGCTTGTTAAAAGAAGATACCTTTTCACTTAAATTTTTTGCTTCAGTAATTCTATCATTCATCACAATTGACTGTCTAAATTAAATCTTGTTATTATTGCTTTAAAGATCATTCTATATCATGTTGCTAGACTTCAAATCTACTGATTTTTTAGTTAATAAATCTGATTTTATGTTATATGAGCCACTATTTCTAGAATGATTAGGATCACTTACTCGTTTACTCTCTAGCTAGATATAGAGAGCATCTGTTATTGGAGTGTCAGAAATGATGCTAGCTGATTGCTTATAGTTCATTGTTTTGGAATGATTCAAGTTTGATTGTGATCCATTATTGTAAATAAAATTATTGTATTAGTATTGAACATAAATATTCTGAGGAGCATATACTTGGTACTCGCTGCTATCTACATTTTAAGTCTTTTAAAGAACTTTAGCAATATGCTTATTTAAGTTTTGAGGCTATACTTTTCCTTCCTATTGCTAATTTACTCCTGTTTAGTAAAGCATTTTATTGTAATTTTAGGATAAATTACCTCAATTTTACTATGAAGTTGTTGAAGATATTGATGAAAATTATGATTGTTGATGCCCATTACTGCTAGAACAGTCTATTGATTGTCTTTACTTTTAAAAGCATGTATTTGCTAGGAGCTTTTTACTCTCAGAATTTATTTATTGAGATTATTTTTGATAACCTCCTACAATATTGTAATTTCTATCACTCGAAAATTTATTATCATTCATATCAATTTGAGTTTGATTATTTTGCTTGCTTTATTTGGAAAAGTGATTTTTGTTAAGAATTGCGGATTATTTAGATATTTCTTCATTTGTAGAAACAAAAGATTATTTAGGAAGTGATGATTTTTGCATCATTTTATCTACTAATTGCTGCTATAACTAATCAGGCCAGTCTAAGTTATTTGTTGCCGATATATGCACGTTATTTTAAGTGCTTGAATTTATTTTATGAGAGTTACCAGTTGATTATCTTTTAGTTTACTGATTGGATCTTTAATTCATAGTGCTCTGAACAGGAAAAAGTTTATTAGGCAGTTAGGCTTAGCTAATTTGCTATTGTTAATTATTGCTCTGACCCTTATAAAATTAGTCTTTTTTCTTCATTTACGAATAAATTAATTTAATTAAATCAAATTATAAATTCTTAGACATATTTTAAGCATTCGGGGTTTTGGGGTTTTGGGGTTTTGGGG